GGCGCGTGCCAGCTCCCAGGAAAAACACCATGGGAAAGCACTGCCACGGGAACAGAGCACCAGGGCAGCTCCTCCAGCATCCTGGGGACCCTGCTTGGGCAGCAAGCAAAGCACCACAACCCAGCCCAGGCTGGGAAGCAGGGAAAACCACACCAGTGGCTCAGAACAGCCCGGGAATGGCTACGGATAATTCATTCTCACATCAGCCTTTTGCAACATCTGGACGTGGCTTTCCCCCATGGATGTCTCATTGTCCTGCAGGGCTTGTGACAGTGGTTGTGATTTGGGAGGCTCTGATCTCAGCTCAGCTGGGGTGAACCTGATCATCACTCTCTCCTGGTGCAGGAGTTGGGCATCTCATGGGGAGATGGGACAGGTCCAGCAAAGGCAGAGCAACCCATGGCGACAGACACCAGAGGTACCAATTGAATTCAAAGTGCTCCAGCATTGACCCCTTGGAGCTTCAACCAAGAATGAGGGATCAACACAGCCTGCTACCCCAAACATGGAGAAAAGCCAATGGCAAACTCCTACAGCCAAACAGGAATTGAGTATTCCACAGCTCTGCTGGTCTGGAGGATTTGGGGAGAGATGGGGAGAATTATTAATGAAATGAGAAAGGACTGAACCAGTGCTCAACACAGACACCACCAGCTCCAAGCTCAGGAGTGTTTTGTTTTGCCAGCCAACAGCAGGACACAAGAGCTCCAGGCTGGAAACGGCCAACATCACACACCTGGGCTCTGTGCCACCCCCTCCCTGGGCCGGGGATCCCTGAACCCTGGAAGCTGCAGAGGATGCAATGCTCAGTGTGCACACAAGGCCACCCTCACACACTCAGCATCTTTCTAACGTCACATCATTCCCATCTCTCCAGCTCTGCTCAGGACACTTGTCAAATGTTGGTGTATTCATTTACCTATAATCTTTTTCAAACAGGAACAGAAAGTGTTTCTGTAAGTTTTTCTGGTCCTGAAGTGGAGCAGATATCCACCTGCAGCCCATGGATGATCCCATGCTGGAGCAGGGGAGGAGTGTGAGGAGTCCTCCCACTGAGGAGAGAAGAGGGGCAGAGACAAAGTGTGATGAGCTGACCATAGCCACTGTTCTCCATCACCCTGAGCCACTGAGAGGGAGAAGGTGGAGAAAACTGGGAGTGAAGTTGAGCCCAGGAAGAAGGGAGGGGTGGAGGGAAGGTGTTTCTTTTATTTCTGCACACCTTCCCCATCAGCCCAGGAAGACTATTGCCATGGATGTGCAGAAAGCCCAGCATTTACTTCAAAAGGAAGAAGCTCACTAAACAGGTGACTTGCACTTGAGCCTGGCTCAGCAGCAATCATTAAGGGTTTGGGATGCTCCAGGACCTCAATGAGACCTCCTGGAACAAACAGAACTGGCTAAATTAAGTCCCCTACTACTGGATTTAGCACATATAAAGCACAAACTCCTGTGAAGCACATCAGTGTAGGCTGTGCAAAGACACAGCACTCCAGAGATACCCCAATACATGACAAAAAGGCCAATTTCCCAGGAAAAACTGTAACCCAGCAGCTGGCATGTCAAAGAGGAAACAGTAAAGCAGAAATGAGGTTTTCACACCATTCCTTCCATCAGCTCACCTAACTTGTCTCTGCCTTGCTCTCCCTGAGGATGTAGAGAAGATGAGGTGTCCCATCCACACAGCAGCTCCCACAGCCAAAGTTGTGGCTGAGCACCCCAAAGTACAGGACTGTCCCCATCAGCCTCTTCAAACAGTCACCTGCAGCAGGTCAATGTTTAAGGATGAAGAAAGCAAAGCCTCATTCCCAGGATTAAGGAAGGCCTCCTTAAGATGGGGAAGGAGAGTCGAGGACAGATATGGCAAGGCCAGAAAGCACACACTGACTGGGACACCAAGTCCAACACACACCCCACACAAGAACACCAACCCCCAGAGCCCCAGCACAGCTCCCTGGGGTTGCACAGTGCAGGACTGGGCTTTACTGGCCATGTGAGCCAGGCTTGGGTCAGGACAAGCAACAGGCAGCTTGGCAACACATTCCAACAGAGGGAGACGCAGAGCTGTGGGCTCCAGACCCTCTTTCCAGAGAGGAAGAGTGGAGAAACCACATGCAAGAACACCAGAACTCTGAGAGTCAACCAACAGCAAAAAACATTCACTGGAAGATAGCAGGAAAATACATTTTAAAGTGGCTTCCTTGGGGAAAAAAAAAATCCAAGGCTACTCCATAGTTTCTTATTTTAACAACTACTCGGTGCCCAGCAGGCTGCAGTGGGACAGGGAACTGGACTCCCTGTACTCAGCCCTCCACACACAACACCCCAAAACTCATTTGTTAGTGTTCAGGTGCACAATAATTTTGTTATATGAGGGAACTCTTCCCCACAAGTCTGTGGTTCCCAGATGTGCATCGTTGCCTAATTATCCAGCAGAGCTCTCCCTGCCCAACTCCCTGCTACAAAATCCTTTATGATGTTTCCAAAATGCCCCCTTCTGGCAAATTCTAACGCAGGTTTTCGGGTGTGCGGATGAAGAAAACTCCAATAAATCTGTCATTTAATGGAAAATTAATACTGTGTCCTAATGTCAGCACCAACAGAGAAACTACCTCCTTTCCACAGCTATTGCGTGTTGGGTGCAAGAAAGCCAAATACAACAAACCTTTAACAAAGAACGCCCCACAAAAATCAAGGTTAGTGATGCTCATGCCCTGCAACACGGCTGGCAGGAGGCCACACATGGCCACATCTCTGGCTTGTGGTGCCAGCAGGCACCCGTCCTGTTGGAGGAGCCCAGGGTGGGAGCAGCACCCACCCATCTTGAGGCAGAGTAATTTTATTAAATCAGCTCATATTAGTGCAAAAATTGGGGAAGTCCTTGGGATCACAAGACATAAACAAAGTTGGGTGAACACAGACAGAAATAACTGCTGCAGGTGTCACCAGGTTGCAGTTATTAGCTGGGGAGTTTTCAGCTCCTGACCTCATGCCCTTGGGATTCCCAATATGATTTCTGAGAGGTCTTAAAAAGGTAAGTTGAAAAGGAAACTCATTCTCATGCTTCACCTGGAAGTTTCACAGGAGCCTGCAAGCTGGAAAGAATAAAAACCCACTGAGCAGGACAGTCACAAGGAATCAGTGCTCAGGAAAACGCGCAGTAACAGCAGGCAGGAGACTCCGGTGCTTGGGAAGCCAGGGTGGAGAGAAATAACGTTTGCAACAGGTATGGGATAAACCAAAAGCAAACAAAAGGACCAGAAAATCAACCTGTTACACTGGGGATTTGTAGTACACAGGATCGGGAACTGCAATTTTCAGACTCATCTTCCTAAAGCAAAGCTTCCTGCAGCACTTCCAGCTTGACTCATCAGGAGGCTGCCCCAAGGAGAGGATGCATTTTCCCTCCCCTGGCTTGCACACAAGTGTGAGGCACCTGCCTGTTTCTCCTCCCTTGAGCAGCCTGGACCACCAGGCTCATGTCCCACTTGGCCTGATAGCCACCACCCGAGAGCCCACCAGTAGCCAGCCAAGCTCTGGGACACGTCCCCTGGGCCAGGAAGGAGAACAGCAGCAAGGTCCCTGCCAACCTCTCTGAACGACAGAGCCCACCCCGAGGCCACGCAGAGTCCCGTTCCTACCGCAGTGGGGACACGTCAGCCACTGGTGACACAGGGGACAGACTTTGCTCCGAGTGGCTCTCAGTCCACACCCTCCCTGGGTACCGCGGATGCCGGGCAGTCAACATGCCCCTCTCCAGCCCGACACGACCACCCACTCAGCTCTCCTTACAGCAACACACAGAAACCATATTAATTCATTCCAGGAAAACCAGCTGGCACAGCAGAAACGCGGCACTCCCCGTGCCTGCCTGGTAACTTGCTCAACCAGGGACTGAATGCCACTGGCATGAGCCGTCCTGCCAGCGCCGGGCACCTTCGGCACGCGAGCAGGACCCCCAAACCCTCTGCACAGGGGCTCCAGCAAAGCATCCACCTGCCCCGGGACTGTCAACTGACTGTAACAGACCGAAATTGGGCACTTTTACTTTCCCCGAGCCAGTGAGTGACGATGCAGTGGAGTGAGTGAGCAGCATTCCATAAATATTTGATTTAAACGGCTACAGTACAGTTTGGATCCACCGAGGGTTTAATAACCTACTCCCACACGGCCCCGTGTGAGGTGTGATCGAAGTCTGGCACCGCAGCCTCGTGCCACCGGAACACGGAGCTGGTGCCGGTTTTGCCGTGATCCGTCCTCACTTGGGGGAAGGAGTCGTGCCTTGTTTTATAACAAAACACGAGGGAGGAGCAAGGAGGTGGTATCAGCCATTAATCCCTGTATTTTAAAACATCTCATCTCATAAACGTTCAGGTGTAAAACAAAACCACAGAGGTGGAGATGGGAACGGGAACTCTCCAGCGAGGCTCTTTAAACACCTGAGTAAGACTTTCTCACCGAGGTTGCCCCGTCGATTCCCCGAGACCACTAAAACCTGCAAGCAGCGAATCCTCCCAACCAAAAAAACTCCCACCAAAGCCCACAGAAATGTTCTCCTGGACTCAAACAAGCCCTGAATCAGCCCAGGTGAGCAATCACCCAGTTCTTCGGGAGTTCACACGAGGGTAAACCGGTCTCAAACCGCTGGATTCTAACACACAGGGGAAAATAAACCCGGGCCCGCGGCAGGATCTGCCCGGCTCAGCTTCGCGCTGGTGCTTCCTCAGCATCTCAAACGGAGCCAAAAAAACCCTAACAAAGAAAAAAGATTCCCACATGATGTTATATAAAGGGGGTCTTGCGAAACTAATCTGAACTCCACGGCTTTGCGATCATTGCGGGGCGCAGGAGGGTCTGTCCCGCAGGTACCTGCGAGGGGGCGACGCGTATTTATGAGATCAGAACACAACGAGGAGTGATGCGACCCTTCGCCCTGCGAGTTCCCGACACTGGGGCGGGGGTGGGGATCCCCATCCCAGTCCTAATCCTAGTCCCGCTCTTACCTCACCGCATGGCCTCGGCGCCGCACGCTCACGCGATCCCGGCAAATCAGGACAACTCTTGCGCTGGCGTCGGGAAGTTGAAATGTTTAAAAAGAAAAAATAAAAAAAAAAATTAAAATACGAAAAAAATAAAACTGCAAAAAAAATTTCAAAAATACAAAAATATTAAAAAGACCTCCAAAAAAATACCCCCAAAAAAATAAAACTATAAAAAAAATTAAAAATACAAAAAAAAATTAAAACCACAAAAAAACCAATAACACAAAAACAATAACAACAAAATAAAAAAAAAGTTTTAAAACGCGGCTGAAGGTGCGAGATGCTCCGAGAGAAAGTGAAGTCAGCAAACG